AAACGGGGCGGGTGCGTGCAGAGCGTCCCGTGGGACGTATGGTGGGACAAACGGAGGGCGCCCCGTGGGACGTATGGTGGGAGGGCACCCCGTGGGACGCGTGGAGGGCGGGCGTGTGGGGGAGGGCGCCCCGTGGGACGCGTGGGGGGGGTGGGCGTGTGGAGGGCGCCCCGTGGGACGCGTGGAGGGTGGGCGTGTGGAGGGCGCCCCGTGGGGACGCGTGGTAGGCAGGCGCATGGTGGGTGCTAGTGGTGGTCAGACGCGTGGAGGACGGGCGCCCCGTGGGACGCGTGGAGGGCAGGCGCATATTGGGTGCTAGTGGTGGTCAGGCGCGTGGAGGGCGTCCTGTGGGACGTACGGTGGGAGGGCGGGCGCATGGAGGGCGCCCCGTAGGACGTATGGTGGGATGGAGGGCGCCCCATGGGACGTATGGTGGGAGGGCCCCGGGCGCATGTGTGGAGAACGGCGCCCCGTGGGACGTGTGGAGAACGGGGGTGCCCCGTGTGGGACGTGTGGAGGGCGGGCGCGTGGAGGGTGCTAGTGGTGGTCAGGCACGTGGAGGGCGCCCCGTGGGACGTATGGTGGGAGGGCGGGCGGGCATGGAGGGCGCCCCGTGGGACGTGTGGAGAACGGGTGCCCCGTGGGAACGGGCGTCCCGTGGGACGCGTCCTGTGGGACGTGGGAGGGCGCGTGGGACGTATGCTGGGCAGGCGCATGGAGGGGGTGCTAGTGGTGGGGCGTCCTGTGGGACGTATGGTGGGCGCGTGAGATGTAGGGTGGGCAGGCGCAGGACATCCTGTGGAATCTTGCGACGGGCAGGAGCATAGAGGGTGCAGTTGGAAGACAGACACATGGAGGGTGTAGATGTAGGATGCAGTGGGCAGACACACGGAGGGTGTTTGTTGTTGGGCAGACACATGGAGGGTATGGGATGTAGTGTGTAAGAACACATGGAGGGTATTGTTGGACAGGCACATGGAGGGTGTTTGTGGGCAGGCATGGGTGTCGTTGTAGGAAGTAGTGTGTACAGACACATGGAGAGTATTATTGTTGTTGGACAGACACATGGAGGGGGGTGTAATGTGTACAGACACATGGAGGATGTCGTTGGTGGGAAGGCACATGGAGGGTGTTGTTGTGGGATGCAGTGTGTACAGACACTGAAGGGTATTGTTGTTGTTGTCGCTGCTGCTGGACAGGCACATGGAGGGTGTTGTTGTTGGACAGGCACATGGAGGGTGTTGTTGTTGGACAGGCACATGGAGGGTGTCTTGTGGGATGTAGTGTGTACAGACACATGGAGGGTGTCGTCGTCCCCGTCCCGGTACCGGCCCCCGCTCTCCCCCCCCCTCAGAACACCAACAATACCAGCGTCTCCTCTCCCTCCCCCTGCCCGGTGAGCCGAGCTGTCCCCGCCCCCGGACCCCGCCTTCCCCCGGCTCACCGACCCCTCGGCCCCTTTGGCCCGGAGCCCCGGACAGCCCGCACCGAGCCCAGGGCGGGATCCCGGCCCCGCAATTCCAGCTGCGCTTTACCTTCAGTTCCGCACTGTCCGCCATCTTGCCGCTCTGCGCGCAGGCGTAATGAACCCGCCGCGACGTGGCTCCGACGCGCCAGTGATGTCATCGCGCTCCATTCGAAAATAAAGGCGCCAAACCCAGGACTTGCACGCGTGCCCAGGTCACGTGTTCGGAGCCATGTGGGGGCGTGTGTACTGTATACAGAGCTACAGTCACGTGGCCTCGCTGTGGGGGTGGGGCTCCGCCTCCTCTGCCAGCACGTGACCTGCAGAGCTACTTACCACAATCCATTTAAAGGGACCCGGACTACAACCTGGACTAGAAAGAGGAAGCGACCCTTCCTCCTCCATTGTGGACAGAGAGAGGGAGGGTTATCATTGTTGCCATCTGTGTCCCATTGGGGGAGATTTCCTATCATTTCCTGTCCGACGGCCAAACAGGAAGTGGGAGGAAATTCCTACAAAGTGGGTGTGACCAGAACTAGTGTCCCCATTGGAAGCTTTCTCCTCACTCCCTTTTCTGGTGACAACAGGAAATGTGGGGTTTTACTTTCACTGATAACAGTAGACAGGACATGTAGGGAGAATCTCTCCCCCCAGGGACACAGACACCGGACAGGGGCTCTAATCCCTCCACTCCACTCCATCCAAAACTAAAAAGAAAAAGTTTTTCCTTTACTTATACGTTAATATTTGAAATTTTTCGGTCTCTTTTGCTTTTTCATTCATTTTGTTGTCGATGCTCCGCGCCGGAATCGTCATCTCAGTTTCATTTTCAATAGGAAAAATGATCAGATGGAGTCATGACTTTATATTTACAACACAGGGCTGTCCAAACTGCGGCCCAAGGGCCACGTCTGGTGTGCTGCAAGATTGTGCCCGGCCCGCAGCTACGGTCAGAGGCTTCTCACACAGAGAGGGAGGTCACCTCCTTCCCTCCAGTCTTCAGCACAGGTTCCCCTCCCTGCACTCTCATTGTATCCTCATTGGATGCTGGGACTGGTGGCATCCTGACAGCCAATCACGTGCTGACGTTATAGCTAATCTTATATAATCTAATATAAGGAGGGGCTCTGATGGGGGCACTGATGTAAGAATGGACTTTGATGGAGACTCTGATGTAAGAGGGGGGGCTCTGATGGGGACCCTAATGTAGAGGGAGGGCTCTTATGAGGACCCTGATGTAAAGGGGGCTCAGATGGGGACCCTGATATAAAGGGTACTCTGATGGGGACCCTGATGTAGGGGGGACTCTAATGGGGACCTGGATGTAAGTGGGACTGTGATGGGGACTAGGTGGGACTCTGTGGGACCCTGATTAGGGGGGACCCTGATGTAAGGGACTCTCTGATGAAGACCCTGATGTACGGGGGACCCTGATATAAAGGGTACTCTGATGGGGACCCTGATATAAAGGGCACACTGATGGGGACCCTGATGTAGGGGGGACTCTAATGGGGACCCGGATGTAAGTGGGACTCTGATGGGGACCCTGATGTAGGGGGGACTCTGATGGGAACCCCAATGTAAGGGGCTCTCTGATGGAGACCCTGATGTAAGGGGGACTTTGATGGGGACCCTGATGTAGGGGGAACTCTGATGGGGACCCTGATATAAGGGGGGACTCTGATGAGAACCCCAATATAAGGGGCTCTCTGATGGAGACCCTGATGTAAGGGGGACTTTGATGGGGACCCTGATGTAGGGGGGGACTCTGATGGGGACCCTGATGTAAGGGGGGAATTTGAGATAGGGGGACTCTGATTGGGTCAGAAGAAGTAAGGGCAGGGGGGACTCTGATAGAGACTCTTAATGTAAAGGGGATTCTGAAGGGGATCCTAATGTAAGGGGGACTCTGATATAAGAGGAGACTCTGACGTTGTGCACAGAGCAGGAAAGTATGAAATGATTGTTTTTAAAAAAAAAACTGAAATCACTTTAGAGACCCAGTTAGGGATGCCAGGGCTGGGCAGAAAGGGGTTAACTCAAGTAAGACAGTTATCACCTTTTAAAAAAAAAAACTACAAATAAAGGATTCTGGTTGGTCGGCTGCTGTCTGGGATCTGCTCATTTGCATACCAGCCCCTCCCAGCTGTATAAAGCCAGGAGATTGCTCACAGGTCACACACAGCTCTGTGTTTACATCGATCAACCAAAACATTCTGACCAATGACATGTGAAGGGAATGAATGGATTATCAGGTGACAATGGCACCTGACAGCGGCTGGGATATGTTAGGCAGCAAGGAACATGTTGTCCATGAAGTTGATGTGTTGAAAGCAGAAAAAATGGACAAGTGTAAGGATCTGAGTGACTCTGACAAGGTCCAAATTGTCTAGACGTCTGGGTCAGAGCAACTCCAAAACTGCAGCTCTTGTGTGAAATTCTCTCAGTCTGCAGTGGTCAGGACCAAACAAAAGTGGTCCAAGGAAGGAAAACCGGTAATAGGGTCATGAGAGACCAAGGCTCATTGATGGGGGTGGGGAGGGAAGGCTTATTGATGGAGGTGAAGAGGGAAGGCTCATTGGTGGAGGTAGGGAAGGCTCATTGATGATGGTGGGGAGGATAGGCTCATTGATGGCGGTGGGGAGGGAAGGCTCATTGATGGAGGTGAGGAGGAAAGGCTCAATGATAGAGGTGAGGATGGAAGGCTCATTGATGGAGGTGAAGAGGGAAGGCTCATTGGTGGAGGTGGGGAAGGCTCATTGATGGTGGTGGGGAGGATTGGCTCATTGATGGCGGTGGGGAGGGAAGGCTCATTGATGGAGGTGGGGAGGGAAAGGCTCATTGATGGTAGTGAGGAGGAAGGCTCATTGATGGTAGTGAGGAGGAAAGGCTTATTGATGGTGGTGGGGAGGATAGGCTCATTGATGGCGGTGGGGGAGGGAAGGCTCATTGATGGAGGTGAGGAGGAAAGGCTCATTGATAGAGGTGAGGATGGAATGCTCATTGATGGAGGTGAAGAGGGAAGGCTCATTGGTGGAGGTGGGGAAGGCTCATTGATGGTGGTGAGGAGGAAAGGCTTATTGATGGTGGTGGGGAGGATAGGCTCATTGATGGCAGTGGGGGGGAGGGAAGGCTCATTGATGGCAGTGGGGAGGGAAGGCTCATTGATGGAGGTGGGGAGGGAAAGGCTCATTGATGGTAGTGAGAGGATGGTGGTGGGGGGAAAGGCTCATTTGAGGGAAGGCTATTGATGGAGGTGAGGATGAAAGGCCTCATTGATAGAGGTGGGATTGATGGGGAAGGTTATTGGGGGTGGGAGGGAAGGGTGATGGAGGTGGGGAGGGAAGGCTCATTGATGGAGGTGGGGGAGGAAGGCTCATTGATGGAGCTGGGAGAGGGAAGGATCAGAGGTGGGGGGGGAAGGGTTGATGGAGGTGGGGGCTGGGGGGGGGGGGGGGGGGGGGGGGGGTGGGGGGGTGGGAGAGGGAAGGATCATTGATGGAGGTGGGAGAGAGGGAAGGCTCATTGATGGAGGTGGGGACTGATGGAGGAAGGATCATTGATGGAGGTGATGGAGAGAGGGGAAGGCTCATTGATGGAGGTGGGGAGGGAAGGTTCATTGATGGAGGTGGGGGAGGGAAGGTTCATTGATGGAGGTGGGGAGGGAAGGCTCATTGATGGAGGTGGGGAGGGAAGGCTCATTGATGGAGTGGGAGAGGGAAGGATCATTGATGGAGGTGGGAGAGGGAAGGCTCATTGATGGAGGTGGGAGAGGGAAGGCTCATTGATGGAGGTGGGAGAGGGAAGGCTCATTGATGGAGCTGGGGGGGAAAGGATCATTGATGGAGGTGGGAGAGGGAAGGCTCATTGATAGAGAGAGGAAAGGCTCATTGATGGAGGTGGGGGAGGGAAGGCTGGTCCGTGTAGTCTGATTCAATAGAAGAGCTACTGGAGCTCCAATTACAGAAAATTTGAATGCTGGTTCTGATAGAAAGGTTCGCAGTTTGTTGTGTAGGGGGTTGTGTAGCCGCAGACTGCTCAGGGTATGCTGACCCGTATCCACAGCCAAAAGTGCCTACAATGGGCACCTGAGCATCAGAACTGAACCACGGAGCCATGGAGGAAGGTGGCCTGGTCTGATGAATGACATTTTCTCTTACATCATGTGGATGGCAGGTGGGGTGCAGGTCACTTACCTGAGGAAGAGATCCCACCAGGCTGCAGTATGGGAAGAAGACAAGCCGGCGGAGGCAGTGTGATGCTTTGGGCAATGTTCTGCTGGGAGACCTTGGCTCCTACCATTCATGTGGATGTTACTTTGACACGTACCACCTACCTACACATTGTTGGGGGGGTTATGCTCCATCCATCCTGGGGTACTTACCGCGGGTATCCAGGAATGAGATCGGAACATACTAAGGTATTGTAGATCATATTAAAAGTTTTATTCACTGTGTTCAAAATTATATGAGCAAGCAGGTGGGCGGGTATAATATGACCTTTAACCAATAAAAAATAATTCACTTTATCAAGAAGTATACATTCTAGCATGTTCATAAGTCATGAGTAAACCAGAAGGAACAAAAACTAGCCATTTTTAGCTTTTCTGCACAAAAAAGTGTGGGAAAGGGAAGGCTCATTGATGAGGTGGAGGGGGAAGACTCATTGGTGGAGGTGGGGAGAGAAGGCTCATTCGCGGAGGTGGGAGGCTCATTGGTGGAGGTGAGGAGGGAAGGCTCATTGGTGGAGGGGGGCTCATTCGTGGAGGTGGGCTCATTTTTTGGACAAAAACGGGGCCTTATGCCAAAGTATGAGCCCTTATCAGAAGTTAGTTTCTCTTACGGGATACTATGCCGAAGTTACCTTGATGGAGGTGGGGAGGGAAGGCTCATTGATAGAGGTGGAGAGGGAAGGCTCATTGGTGGAAGTGGGGGGGGGGGTCATTGGTGGAGGTGAGGAGGGAAGGCTCATTGATGGAGGTGGTGGTAGGGGGGGATCATTGATGGAGGTGGGAAGGGAAGGCTCATTGATGGAGGTGGGGGCAGGGAGGCTCATTGATGGAGGCAGGGAGGGAAGGCCCATTGATGGAGGTGGGGGAGGGAAGGCTCATTGATGGAGGTGGAAAGGGAAGACTCATTGGTGGAGGTGGGGAGGGAAGGCTCATTCGTGGAGGTGGGAGGAAGGGGGCTCATTGGTGGAGGGGGGCTCATTGGTGGAGGTGGGCTCATTTTTTGCACAAAAATGGGGCCTTATGCCAAAGTATGAGCCCTTATCAGACGTTAGTTTCTCTTACGGGATACTATGCCGAAGTTACCTTGATGGAGGTGGGCAGGGAAGGCTCATTGATGGAGGTGGAGAGGGAAGTCTCATTGGTGGAGGTGGGAGGAGGGGGGCTCATTGGTGGAGGTGAGGAGGGAATGCTCATTGATGGAGGTGGGGGGGGTCATTGATGGAGGTGGGGAGGGAAGGCTGATTGATGGAGGTGGGGAGGGAAGGCTCATTGATGGAGGTGGGGGAGGGAAGGCTCATTGATGGAGGTGGAAAGGGAAGACACATTGGTGGAGGTAGGGAGGGAAGGCTCATTCGTGGAGGTGGGAGGCTTATTGGTGGAGGTGAGGAGTGAAGGCTCATTGGTGGAGGTGGGCTCATTTTGTGCACAAAAACGGGGCCTTATGCCAAAGTATGAGCCCTTATCAGAAGTCAGTTTCTCTTACGGGATGCTATGCCGAAGTTACCTCCTAGTTTCAATAACAAGAACATGAACTCCGGCAGCGAGACTGAAGAACAGACAGAACAGCTTAGGCTCCGTTCACACCAGGGTGTTTCAAATCGCGGCGTGGAATCACCGTGAGTCAAAAACGCGTTGTGAAAATGTAAAAACGTGCATCTGCTTGTTCAGGTGCCATTCATTTCAAAGGCACCTAAAAATGTGGGGCGTTTTTGCCGCGATCGCGGCAATTTTTTTCTGTGCGACAAACGCTCGGGGGATCGCACAAACAAAATCACATGACGCACAACGCCCACAAGAGGTTCTGGAATTGTTTATAGGCGCTGCACGTCCCGCCATTTTGTTTTCAGAGCTTGTTGCGCGGAAAAAAAACGAATCGTGATCGCAGCCAAAAAGCGCCACGTGTTTATAGGTGCTATTGAAGTGAAGGGAACCTGAATGGATGCGTGTCTTCACATTTTCACCGCGTATTTTCAAATCATGGGCAGAATCGCAGTGATTACACCCAGATTTGAACCACCCTAGTTGCACGGATGTCAAACCGGTGGCCCTCCAGCTGTTTCCAAACTACGAGTCCCATGAGGCATTGCAAGGCTGACAGTTACAAGCATGACTCCGAAAGGCAGAGGCATGATGGGACTTGTAGTTTCGCAACAGCTGGAGGGCCACCAGCTTGACACCCCTGCCCTAGTATGAATGGAGCCTTAAAGAGTAGCTCTATCATACACCGCTTCACGGAAATGGAATTCCCTGATGGCAGTGGCCTCTTTCCACAGGACAATGCACCCTGCCACACTGCAAAAATGGTTCAAGAATGGTTTGAGGAACACAACAATGAGTTTGAGGTGTTGACTTGGCCTCCAAATTCTCCAGATCCAGTTGAGCATCTGTGGGATGTGCTGAAAAAAGCAAGATTCCACCTCACAGCTTACAGGACCTAAACCATCTACTACTGATGGCTTGGTGCCAGATACCACAGCATACCTTCAGAGGGCTAGTGGAGCCCATGCCTGATGTGCTCAAAAGTTTGCACCCCCTGGCAGATATGGTGGCATTTTGGTATTGGTATGACTGACCGTGCCGACAAACTGTCTTTTATTTAAGGATAGTGATCATATGAAGCCATTTATTATCACATAGTTGTTTGGCTCCTTTTTAACCACTTTCACCCGCTTCCTGCCCAGGCCAATTATTATGCTTTTAGCACCATCGCACTTTGAATGACAGTTGCGCAGTCATGCAACGCTGTACCCAAACTAAGTTTTTGTCATTTTTTTTTCTCACAAATAGAGCTTTCTTTTAGTGGTATTTAATCACTACTTTAGTTTTTATTTTTCGCTTTTCACCATCTCTTAAAGAGCTGCAAACAGTTGGGTAGTGCTGTGGCAGCACCCAAATATTGCAGAGTTCCACTTTAAGCTTTAACATTTTTAAACACATCTGTTTGCAGGGAGCGCGCCGGTCTGCTGTGTCCCTTGGATGTCGGCTTGGTCATGTGATCAGCTGTGTCCAATCACAGCTGATCCCATGTAAACACGGAAATGCCGGTTATCGGCATTTCTCTCTTCTCGAGCTGTCACACTGACAGAGGAGAGAAGAGCCAGTAATCGGCTTTCCGTGGAGGGGACATGTACACTGATCATCAGGGCACTGATGATCAGTGTGCCCTGATGATCAGTGTGGCCCCAGAAGTGCCACCTGTCAGTGCTCATCAGTGCCAGTGCCCATCAGTGCCACATGCCAGTCCCCATCAGTGCCACATCAATGCCACATATCAGTGCATACCAGTGCACATCAATGTCACCCATCAGTGCCAGTCAGTGCCACCTATCAATGTCAATCAGTGCCACCTATCAGTTCTGCCAATCAGTGCCAGTCAGTATCGCCTATCAGTGCCAGTCAGTGCCGCCTATCAGTGCCAGTCAGTGCTGCCTATCATTGCCAGTCAGTTCTGCCTATCAGTGCCATATATCAGTGTCATGTATCAGTGTCATGTATCAATGCTGCCTTTCAGTGCCCATCAGTGATGCCTGTCAATTGACATCAGTGCAACCTACCAGTGCCTCCTCATCAGTGCCCATCAGTGCCACCTATCAGTGTCCATCAGTGCAGCCTATCAGTGCCCATCACTGCAGCCTCATTAGCGCACATCAATGAAGGAGAAAAATAATTTACAAAATTGTATAACAAAAACTAAGAAAAAACGTTTATTTTTTTCACAATTTTTAGTGGTTTTTGGTTTGTTTAAGAAAAAATAAAAATCCCCGAGGTGATCAAATACCACCAAAAGAAAGCTCAATTTGTGGGGAAAACGGATGTAAATTTAATTTGGGTGCAATGTTGCATGATCTCGCAATTGTCAGTTAAAGTAACGCAGAGCCTTAACACGAAAAATGGCCTGGTCAGGAAGGGGGGAAATCGTCTGGAGGGCGAGAGGTTAAGTTCATTTGATTTATTTATGTTAATGTTGTGAGATGACAATTTCTGATGCTAGCAGCCATTATTTATATTATGCTTTATTGGTCACATTGAGGTAGCGCAGGAGAATTTTTTCACATTTAATATAGTGTGTGTGTGTGTGTATATATATATACAGTCAGGTCCATAAATATTGGGACATGGACACAATTCTAACATTTTTGGCTCTATACACCACCACAATGGATTTGAAATGAAACGAACAAGATGTGCTTTAACTGCAGACTGTCAGCTTTAATTTGAGGGTATTTACATCCAAATCAGGTGAACGGTGTAGGAACTACAACAGTTTGCATATGTGCCTCCCACTTGTTAAGGGACCAAAAGTAATGGGACAATTGGCCAGGTGTGTGTTATTCCCTCATTTTCCCAATTACAATGAGCAGATAAAAGGTCCAGAGTTCATTTCAAGTGTGCTATTTGCATTTGGAATCTGTTGCTGTCAACTCTCAAGATGAGATCCAAAGAGCTGTCACTATCAGTGAAGCCATCATTAGGCTGAAAAAAACAAAACAAACCCATCAGAGAGATAGCAAAAACATTAGGCGTGGCCAAAACAACTGTTTGGAACATTCTTAAAAAGAAGGAACGCGCCGGTGAGCTCAGCAACACCAAAAGACCCGGAAGACCACGGAAACAACTGTGGTGGATGACTGAAGAATTCTTTCCCTGGTGAAGAAAACACCCTTCACAACAGTTGGCCAGATCAAGAACACCTCCAGGAGGTAGGTGTATGTGTGTCAAAGTCACCAATCAAGAGAAGACTTCA